CTTGACACTTTCAAAATAAATGTGCTCGCCCAGAGCTGTAAATCATCTATGACCTCCTGTACTCTCCAAGCAGGACAGACTCTCATTAACTGTCATGCTGTAACTGGCTGTGTTGTGTAAGTGGGCTAAGAGTGAGGGGTGGCCGTGGTCAGGGTGTATGAGCTGCGTGACTTGGGGTGTCATCTCTCCTCTCCTCCAGGAGGCACAACAGAGCAGTTCTGACTGAGCTCTGGGGAAAATCCCAGCACTGCATTTTATTAGCTGTGTGACCTCAGACCAGTTTCCTACCCTCCCTGAGCTCCAGTATCTTCACCTTTAAAACGGGGGGTGGGGGTGGGGGGTGGGGAGTAGGTATTTTGAGAATTAAACTAGCTCATTTATGTGAAGTGCTTAGAACAGTACCCACTTCAACCTATTATTATTATTATTGTCGTTATCACCATCGTTGGGCAGCTGCAAACAGGAGACAACAGTCCTTACCCAGCTGACCTCATAACATCCAACAAAATAATACCTGTTAAAAAAAAATCTTAAGTTGCGTATAAACATGAGAGATTTGGCATGTGGTGTATTAAGTCTCACAAATGTTAGGAGGCTAGAAGAGGCCAGTATTGCCAACTCCACTTATTAAATAAATATCATGGCTGTGACACAGCAAGCCGTGTGGCAGTTTTTAGAACTTTTCATCAAGATAGGAAACTAATTTAACTTCATAAATTAATATAATATAGTAAAGCCAATTTTTGAAGACACAAAAATAAAAAGAGATTACCACTTTAACACTTTAAGAAAATCGACACACCCATGCCAAATTTAGAACACTGATTATCAAATGGAATGATACATATTGACAAAGAAAATGCTGTCCCTAACTTGTGTGATCTCAAGCAAACCCCTTCTTTCACTGCCCTTAATTCCCTGCCAGCTACACTTGGCACCAGATGATCTCTGAGTGCCTTCAAGGTATTCCATCCCATGGATCTCATATTTGGAAGATTTTTTAGACCAATGGGTTTGGCGTCAATGAAAGCATTGCCATGTTTCCTGAGCCGACAACACCATCTAGTGTGTGCGTGCAAGGAAGACATGACGGCCCAGCCAACCAGGGGCTTTCTTCTTGCTACTCAAAATATGGTCCACAAACCAGCAGCAATGGCACCTCCTAAGAGCTTGGGAGATATGCACAATCTCAGACTCCATCCTAGACCTACTCAACCCAAATCTGCCTTTTAACAATTCTCCAGGTGATTCTGTGCATATTAAAGTGTAAAAATCACTGTTTTAATAGGAGGAGGAAGGGAAGCTGAAGAGCACAGGAAATTTAACAGATACTTGAACCATAAAGAAATCCAGAATTGACCTGTATAAATAATGCAAATTATTCCCAACTGATATATAAGGAGCTTGTCACATAAAGATTCAGTTTCTTAAGAATTTTTTTAAGTTTCCAAAATGGAATCTTCTCAAATGGTAAGTTGGCATCTGATGACAGGGATTGATGTCTCTGAGCCCCAATGTCTGATGTACCTGAGTATTCCCAGGTCTTGCAGCCTAATCAAAAAAAGACAAACATTTGCCTGGCTGAATCTCAGAACCATCACAGACCTGTGACCCCTTTTGGCCTTGCATTCCCCCTATAACTGCAATCCTATGCCTGTCCCACCACTGTATGTTGGCAGTTTGGGGGCAGACACCTTGCTTTGTTTCACAGTTCCACAGGTGCGCCCCAGCAGCTGGACTTACTGGATTATACCCCGGAGCCTCCTCTGTACCTGGACCTGATTTAGGTTTTGAACTTTTAGCTGATGAGATTTAAATTTAGATAATGAAATTTTGGTCTTTGAACTCATGATGTAATGAGGTGAGACTCCAGGGAAACTTGGGAGGGAGTGAATGTATGTTGCATGTGGAAGGGATATGAACTGTTGGGGGCCCAGGGTGGGCTATGGTAGGCAGAATTCAAAGATGACCCCCTTTTGTGCATACAGCGTATAGTCCTTTTCCCTTGAGTATGGACAGGACCTGTGAATATGATGGGGTATCACTCTAGTGAAGGAACTGTGCAAATGTCATTAAGGTCCCTAATCAATTGACTTTTGAGTTAACAGAAGAAAAATTATCCTGGGTGGGCCTGACCAAATCAAGTGAGCCCTTAAAGGAGACAAAAATCAATAATGAACACTCTCCTACTGGCCTGGAAGAAGGAAACTCTCCTGTGGTGGAGAAGGCCACATGGCAGGGAACATTCACAGCCAAGTCCCCTGGAGCAGGGCTGGAGTTGATTGCCACTCTCCTGAGAAAGGCCTCAGACTAAATTAGAGGAATACCACAATCCTAGGAGGTGAAATGATTGGCCACAGCTAGGGCTGGCTCCCAGCACCCCCAAATCCACCAGGACTGGGTTCACACCTTCCACTGGGTCAACTGGAGGCAGGTGGGAACTCACTCAGGCAAAATAAAGTGATGTGAGAATTTCCTCACATCCATATGGGCTTTTTCTCAGACTCTTCACCCAACAATGAAGGGAAAGGTTTCTCAAAATGTTGCAAATTGCCTCCCAGTCTGTGAAAATATTTCCCTTGACATGCAAAAATGTGATTTTTATTGATTTTTTTCCAACCCTAAAATTTACTTCATCTAAGCTGATGGCAGGAGTAAAAGGGGTGATTTTTCAAGCAAAGCTAATGAGCTGCAGTGCCCAATGAATGCACAGAAAATGCACATGTAGCCTCCCTGCACTTGTGATGAATTTTGTCAGTGTTAATTCTATGTCTGCCTGAACTGTCTTCCTGCACCTGGGAGGACCTGACACCCCTCCATCAAGCTCCTACTGACACTGCAGAAAGAGCAGGCCTGACAGGGTCCCGGGACTGGAGCCGAGGACCAGACACCCCGCCCACAACCAGGCATACCACCAGTGCCAAGGAGCATGCCAAAAACATCACATCCGTGTGGGTGGCCCACCACAGCCACCACAGTAACCACGGCTGCCGCGAAAGCAGCTAGACGTCACAACCACCATGCAGATGGTCCACCAGCCACTGGAGTGCACTGACACAGGACAGTCACCAGCAGACACCAAAGAAGAGGATGTCTCTCTCCACAAAGCCCATTCCAGAGTGACAGAAGAAGCATCTGCTCTATGATAATATTGGGGGATCTGAACACACCTCTCAGCATTGGACAGATCATCTAGGCAACAAATCCACAGAGTAACCATTATTCTTTCAGAAGGAGAGAAGAAATCTAGGGCAATTAGAAGTGGGAGGGGGGAGGGAGAGATTGGACGAGGGGCATAAAGAATAAGTACAATTTGTAACAATAAACATACTAGTAATACTGATTTGATCAACATATGTCAAAATTGAATCCCAAAAATATGTATAATCAATTATGATTTAATAAAAATAATAATAATAATAAATAAATAAAAGAGCCGGGCAGAGATAGGGCAGACCTTTTTTTTTGGACCGGTAAGGGGATTGCAACCCTCAGCACGGTGTGGTACGCACCACGCTCAGCCACTGAGCACACCGGCCATCCCTATATAGGATCTAAACCTGCAGCCTTGGCGCTAACACTGCTGCACTCTCCCAAGTGAGCCACGGGGCTGGCCCAGGGCAGACCTTTTTAACTCATTACCGGTTACATGGGGCATCTGCCTGCTTTTACAAGTTGCCACAATGGTACAAGGGGAAAGCTTGGCCCAAACTACCTTACATTTATAAGAAAACTCAGCTGTGTTGGAAGAAGTCCATTCCTGCCTGCTGAGGAGCTGTTTGGATTAGAAAATAACCACATTATTTAATATTTGTTTGTGAATACACATGTATTGATATTTACTGTGCTTCACATCATATAAAGTAGATTTATGAAAACAGAAGCCAACGTAGTGAGCCCATACTGGGTGCCAGGACTAAGCTAAGCCCCCACCTGCTCTGTATTATTTAATCCTCACAACTACCCCCCGAGCTCAGTTTCATCATCCCCATTCTGCAGATGAAGAAACTGGAGTATGGAGCACTTGAGACGCATTAGATGGATCCAAGCCGGGCCAGCTGGAGCTGTTCCTGGGTAATGGTTGAACTGGGCCCTGTCAGGACTGCTCAAAGAATGTGTGTGAAAAAGAGCCTGAGATACAAGTTGATACTTTTAATCAGTTGCACACGTGTCCTCATCTCTCACATCTGATTGGTACAAATACAAAGATTTGTAGTTAGTGTTATCCCTTTAAAAAAGAAAATCATTCTTACTGATTTGATCTCATTCTTGTTGACAAGATCTAGAGTTGATCTGGGATCATTCGCAGATCAGAATTACTGAGAAACTTTCTCAGCAGCTGCTGCAGCACAAAATCTAACACTGATGGAAATGACCAGATTATTAATAAACAAATTTGAAAAATGAATTTCATATAGAACATTAAATTTCTCCCCAACACTATCACGTGATAAAAATTTTAAATGATTAAGCATGTTTTAAAGTCATAGTGGTGATTACTAAAAGCAACCACCATACTACAGCTAGGCACTGTTAGAAGTCCACAGTCAAGCTTATACGCGGGGTCTCTAAAAAATTCATGGAAGGATTCATATTACCTTTTAATTCAATTTTCTAGGAACTTTTTGAAGTACCTGCATATTAGCTCAGTAAATCAAATTGTTTCTTTGAGATTTCAGCTTTGGTTACTTCTCTTTGGCTAACATAAACATTATGGAGTCTTGACTACAGTAGCAACACATAAACAAAAAGCATTATTTATTAAATAAATCTAGAATATCTCAATGACCTGAAAGTATCAATACAATGTTCCTAGTGTCCATGTCTCTACACTGAGAAAAATCTAACCCAACACTTGAGGTATTATCAGTTTATGCAAAGTAGATAGCATGATTCTAATTTCACCTGTGCAAACATCTTCATACTTGGAAATCCTTGTAAATACCAAAATAAAATATTTACTTTTTTGCCAGGGGGAATAAAAGGCACAACAGAATATATATCTTGATAGAAAAATATTATAAGCTTTTAATTCTCCCAATACCAAAAGTTAACATTTTATGGTTACTCTTTGAAAATAGGGTATTTTAGAACATTTCTAAAGTTTTCAAAATCAAACAAAGCTTATTTACATTTTTACTAAATCCAACATCACTTTCACAGACGGCAAAAGGATTTCCTTATAAAGGTAGAGCAGCTAAGCTTATGGTGGCCTCTGGTCACTGTGCTTAGTTAAGTCTCTGTTGGGCACAGAGTCCACATCCCACAATCTCCTCTGATGGGCTCCCTGGTATAGTGACTCTTCATCACATGCGTTCCTTGAAGAACCATTTCTGATGATCTGAGTTGGTGCAGTCTCGTAGCAGTGGTACGAAACTGTCGCTAAATTCCTTCTTCACAGCCTGGACACATTTCTTGGACTGTATGTGAAATAAGGAACCATCCTACAAAAAATAACATAAACTGGATGTTCGAGAGAATTACAAGTGATTCCTCAGAAAAGTCCCTTTTCACTTAAAACATGTTCTGAAGAGCTCAGGGTATGATTTTATTTTATCATTTCAGAAATATTTATGGCAGGGTCACCATCGTCAGTGTAAAATGTTAACAGGAGGCTGTCCCATGTACACAGGCCTGTAAACTGCATCAGGCCTGCCTCTCGTGGGACCGATGGTGCCACCTGCTGGCTGCTGGGGGATCTGCCAGACCCTACATCTCGTCCCTATTGCTTTCTGGGAATCCAGGAACAAAGATGCTTTATTTATCTCTTCCACTTCTCTTAGATCAACAAATTCCATTCCTGGTGATCTCTTTCTCTTATGTATTTAAACGGACAGTCAGGAAACTTGGCTATAGTCCCAAGTGGGTGAGGGGGCAGGTCCCTTAGCCACCTGGCCTGAGTTCACCTGTCAAACATGAGGGGGAGAGGCAGTGGTTTCTATGCACTGGGCCAAATTCCAAATCCCAAAAGATGATGATCTTCTTTGATGACTTCCCCCATCCTGCTGCCTTTGCTCAGCAAGTCTCTCTTCCAGTCCTGCTGTTTATCTTTCCCTCCACCCCTCTCTGTTATAAGTTGGAAGCCTGCACTGAACTTAATCATGGCTGAGCAGAATGCAGGCTGAATGAACAGCATACCTGTTGCAAGGAAAGAGCAGCCTTGGCAATAACATTAGATGCAACAGAATCTCAATACTGTTAACCTTGAAAACTCTTCAGTGAGTGCTCCCAAGTCGCTCTTGGAGTAGCTTAAAAGTAAATAATTAAATAAAGTATCCCTCTTTCCACCCTTCCAAACAAACTCACTTTTCCTTAAATGGTCACTGAAATTTAAGATAAAAATTTTAATGACATGTCAGACCAATTTTACTGTTTCCAGCTTGCATTACTCTTCCCCGAGGGCTTACAGTTGGAAGAAAGATGAGAAGGGGAGGGTGTGCAGGAGGATCACAGACTTCCGGGGTGTACAGAGGTATTTTTCCTGCTTATTTTCTCATATCAAATAGACAGCACGATGGTGCTTGGCTTTTCCAGGCAGCCTGCAAATTTCATTGCTAATTATAACAGTTTTCTACAGGAAAACATATTCCAACTTTAAAGCACACTCAGAACTAACCCATTTATTAAGCAGTATAGAAGAACCTCTCCAACTCCAAGGTCAGGCTGGGAATGAAAGCTTCCCAGGGAGATAAAAGAGAACTACTTTTTTTTTTTTTTTTTTTTGAATTATTTTCTTTGGATTCATTCCCTCAAGTGTTTTTAGTAAGTCAAAGGACATGATCGACTGACAAGTCTTGTCATGAGCTTATTGCAAATGTGATGGGGCCAGTGCCTTTCAGGCCTGAAATAACACTCAGTTCTGAAACAAAACGATTATTTGGAGAGCCAACTGCATCACAGAGGTGCTTTCTTGATTATAATATCTCAAGTAACAACTAATCTCTATAGAGGTTTACAGTTTCCAAAGAATATTTCTGGCTATACAACTAATCCTCACTAGAGTAAGAAAAGACGTCTATTATTTATGTCCATTTAGAGCTGGGAGAAGTGGAGTGACTTACACCTAGATCTGACCTCACATTCTCACACCTTGGTTATGTGGTAAAATCCCGTCTCATCTCCAAACGCATTTGCGAGAGCTCCTGTTCCCATCACAGCCCACTGCAGCTCGCCGTGTAAAGAGAATGGAAGAGACGGGAAGGGAGTAAGCGACAAAGGCCGAGCTCCTGATGCCGTGTGGTGTGGGACTCGAATGCTACTGCCACCATGGGGTTTACGGTGAAGTTCCCCATCTCCCAGAACCCCCTGTATGTGGCTGCCCTCTGAGACTCCCTAGGACTTCGCCAGAGAGAACCCCTGACTTTCACACTCCCCTTACCGCCCACAGGACTGACAGCAAGGAAGGAACGGGAGAGCTGGCTTACCTCCTGCAAGATGAACTTGTGGTTGTCTGGGGCAGTTTCTTGGCATAAATGCATGATGAGAACATCCACTCCTGCTTCCACAGCTACACAGGCCTCTGGCTGGTGGGTGTTATAGCGTATTTCATTCTGGGATGTGTACTCAAAAAACTGAAAATGAGGCAGCCAACATGTGTCAGTTACCCTCTGATGTAGAAAGAGAAGTCCCTGGACAAGAACCAGAGTCACAAGAGCATGGGTGGGGTCGGGCACTCTCCCCTCACCACCAACAGGAGCCTGTCTAATCAGGCTCCCACATGTCCCCGCAGCACTCAGGAGACCTCTAGTGCAATGCTTAGCAAGTGTGGATGAAGTGGCCCTTTCTCACCTCCCCAAACATAATGGATATAACAGTGCCTGGAAACTATGAAGTGCTGTGCACAAGCAGACGTGACTGCTAAAAGGAAGACGTGGTTCTTCTGGGGAAAAGATATTGCTACTCCAGCATGCCGAGGAACTACCTGCAGAGCTTGCTAAAAATGCTGACTCTCGGCCCCACCCCAGAGAAGGAAGAGGATTTATTCTGTCTCAGAGGGGGCCTAGAAAGCTGAATTTTTGCACTTTTGACAAGACTCCCACCCCCTACTTTTTGAGAGATCCTGACACAGGTGTCTGTTCTCTAGGCATGCAGAGGGGTGCTGCTCAAACAAATCATCCAGAAAGCTGGTTAAAGCAAGAGTCTGGAATTCGGTAGGGTTGGGATGGGTCTGAGAATTTGCATTTCTAAGCTCCCACGTGATGCTGAGGGTACGAGTCAGGTATCCTCAGATTTGAGGAATACCATTCTAAAACGTGATGAAGAACCTAAATACTTTAAGGAAGCAGGGCTCCAAATAATGGCAGTTTACTGTTGACCATAAGGAGGCTTAATATTCAAATGGAATCAGAGTGAATCCAGAATGGAAGAAAACTTTTGACTCTCCATGCCTTCATCTCCAGGTATCTGATAACTCCTTAATACAAGAAAGCTTTAAAGGTCCAGAACCTTCTTTCATCTCTTGCATCCTCCAAGGGCCCTGCCCTGGTGGGTCCATCTGCTTTTCTGGACCAGGGGTCCTGTTTTGGTCCTCAGACCCTTAGTACTGAGCCTCACCTGTCCAGCCTGAAATACAGTATTTAACCCAGAAAGAACCACCTGGGCCCCTGGATAATTTCCTTAAACACCACTTTGCAGTATAACACCGTGTACGAAAACCTGGAATTCCATTTATAGATTAATTCTAAGGAAATCAACTGAAATACAGATCTGTTATTTTTTTCCTTTCTTCTTTCTGACCAAAGATGTTAGTGAAAGTTACTTATAATTGCAAAACACAGGGAGACAGGCAACCAGTTAACTAAACAGTAATACAGGCACACAATGAAATATCAAGAGGAATAGTATTCTCAAAGGACGCCTAATAACATAAGAAAAGTATGGTGAAGTGGAAATAATGGAATATAAAACATACAGATATTCTGATAACAAATATTTAAAACAGATAATCTAAAGCCTGTGTGTAAAAAATGATGGGAAGAAAATATGTCATAATTTTAATGGTCGTCTCTCTGGGTCTTGCCATTCACTCCTTGCTTATACTTTTGATATCCCCTTAATGTTCTGTTCATGTCACTTTTACAATGAAAAACATCAAAGATTCATTTTTTAAAAAAAACTCATACCTTTCCCCTCATTGCCCTGTTCAGAGGCCAACACCTACCTGGTTCTGGCCCAGCCCATGGCATTGGTACAGAAGGACCTGGTGTCCTGCAATCTGGTTTTCATCAGGAGGGTTGTAGTCAAGGCAGTAGTCTTTTAATCCTTTGTTCTGGAGCTAAAAAAAACGTAAAGGTGACATTATGGCCTCACAAACTGGACTCAAAATTAAGAGCCCCTTACTTCTATACAGTACTCTCTCATTTTAAAAGTGCTTTCCCAACCTGAACTATAGGCAGGACTCTTTGGCTCCATTTTAAGATGATAAATAAACCTAAGGATCAGAGAGACTAACCCTTTATGGCCTGAAAGCTCCTGTCTCTTCATTTCTCAGTAGTGGCAGCCTTATTGCTGCAATAGTCCAAATACATCTGGGTGTCTCCTCGAGTTAAGATTAAATAAGCTAACTAAATCAAGCTGGTGACAGACACAGAAAAAGAATTATTTTAAAAGATTTGAGCGTCTAGTATGCTTGACAATACTCTCTTAGTGAAATACATTCTGTAAACAAAGCTGCAAAAAAATCTTAAACCTTATTCAGTGTAACACTGTCAGTTGTAATACTGTATTACTGTTTTGAAACTATTTTAAGTATGTTTTAAGATAAAGCAAATAAGTAATTATATTAATATTGTCAGAAAACAAGGTTTTCACTGTAAGAAAAAAGAAATATGAGTATAATATCAAAGAAGAAAAAAATCTTAACAAGATTACATATGAATTTGAGATATCAATAGGAGCCCATAATTTGTTTCTCAAAAATATGTATTTCCTTTCTCTGCCCACTGGAAAGGTTTAGAGCTATGCTATTCCACATGGTAGCCACTGGCCACAATTGGCTATTAGAAACTTGAAATGTGACTAATCTAAATTGAGATGTGCTATCGTACATACCAGACTTCAAGACTTAGTATAAATGTAAAATATCTCAATACATTAATTTTTATATTAACTATATGTTGAAATTATAATATTTAGGATATAGTTAGTTAAATAAAATATATTATAAACTTTATTTGTTTCTTTTTATTTTTTTTTTTTATTTTTTTTTTTTATTTATTTTTTTTTTTTTTAAATGTTTTATTTGGGAAAAGTGCTTCTTACAAAAGGGCGGCTGCAAAATACAGAGACCTCTGCAACAATTACTAGTTTTTTTCTTAAAGTGAAAGAATGAGTGGGAACCAAAGAATGAGAGCAGTAGATGAACAAATCAGGAGCATCTCCAAGTGATTTTTCGGGAAACAGAGCAACAAAATGCAAAGGGAAAATTTCCGATCAAGGGATTCTTCTAACAACTGAGCTTGTCTCCTGGATTGCTACCCCCTCCCCTCCCCTTTAGTGGACATGTGTAACTTGTTACTGCAAACACCTCAATAAACACCTCAGAACATAGTTTTGAATCACATCTGTCTACCTGCAAAGCTCAGGGGTGGAATGAGGCAAATACCCACAAAAACAAACACAAAAACCTGACAACAAAACCCCTCAGATGAGGACAGATTTCAAAAAGTGCCTGGACTGGAAATGCTAGATCATAAAACATTAAATACAACTGCGTATCCTAGACCCAGTTTGTGTTAATATATGGGATAACCAGATGGTTTAAACCTCTATGGCTAACCCCATTTCTCTATTTATACAGATAGAGCTAGCACTGCTATATATTAACAACTACAAATATACTGCTTGTCCTTTAAGATCTGTCACACGGGGCTGAAACCACTAAACCAAGCTTTTCCACTAAGGCTACGAATACTGCATCTATGCAGGGATGAGAGGCATATCTCACACTTACACACATCAAGTCTATCAGCCCTTGGGAGTCAACTTCCAACTATGCATTGGTTTTAATTGTATACCACTATATCTCTTATGTGTGTTCTTTCACAATTTTCCTATCATGCTAAACATAGTAAAAATCTCAACACACTCACACCTGGTTCTGGTTACCCAGTAGTATTTCTTGTGTGCAATTAGACAAAAGACCAAAACCACAGAACAAGTGCACGTGGTGGGGATTACAGGGTAGGGAACAGATATAAAAACACAGATGTGCAGATTTCACCAGAAAACTTGAGGATCCACCTCCTACCTCTATAGCAGAAGGCTACTTGCCAGCTCAGGTCCCTTCACACATCACCCCTACTCTGGAACCCCAAAACAGGGCCAGGGATTTTACTTTTGAACCTGGAGTCCTCAAAATAAATGTATGTGGAAAGTCCATAAACACAATCTGGTTGCAAACAGATGATGCAACAAACCTACACTAACTGTCTGACAGTCAAATTCATGTTACAAAAAAACTAACTTTAAGATTTATTTTTGTAACTTTTTTAAACAGAGAAAACACACTCCTTGGGGAAAGGTGAAGGATGGAAAAGACAGGCCCTGGGTAGAAGTTATTATGACAGCACCTGGAGTTTGATAGGCCTGCCTAGGAGAGAACACAGGCACCGCCACACCACCACAGGGGAAGCAGTGTTGACATGGGAGCAGAATAGTTCCAGTGGCCATTTGCCTCTTGCAGCTACAGTCTTCTCTGGTGCCCAAAGCTTCCCACTTTTTCACCAGGTGATTAAATTAGGCTCTTGTATTCCAAAGTCATAGAAATGAACAATGTACCCAGCAGTAAAGCAAGGAATGCTTTATTAAACGAGGAGATAAGCTTATGCATAAGGGAGATAGCCACAGTAAAGTGAGCCCCCTGAGAGGAGCTGTTCAGGTTCTTTTATAGAGAAAGGAGCTCTATTTGTTTCTTTTTAAAATATGGATACTAAAAAATTTTAAATTATAAACATGGCTTGCATTATATTTCCATTAGACAGCATGATCTAGAGGCCATGACAACCTATAGTAATGGGCACCCCCAGCATCCAGATTGTGGACTCTGAATAATACCCTTCCCCATCGAAAGGACTACGCTTCTGGAATGAACGACAGGAAAGGTCTAAGGTGAGCATGGGACAATGTGGTCAGAATCTAGGAAACTATCTAAGCCACTATAATGGGATCAAAGATCACAGACACCAAAATAAAAAGGCTGCCACTGGCCAAAGATGGGACCATTTGAATATTAAAAAAAAAAAAGACAGACTGAATTGATTGACACACACTGGCCATATAAACACCCATTAGTTTTCAATGATACTCAAAAAAAGGAAAAGCCAAAAAACAAATGAGCCAACAAACAAAAACAACAACCCATGGAACACAACTGGAGGAAACAACAGTACCAACTCCTACTCTGAATAGAGGCAGGAGAAAGACGTAAGAATTTGTCACACCCTTCTTGTATGAACTCTAAAATTCAAGTCTACCAAAATGCCTTAGTTAACAAGGGAACATTCTTCTTTACGGGAAAATTCCAGCTAATAAATAAATGTGGAAGAAATGAAAGAATGAGAAAAATCACCACTGGGCAACTCCATTTGAAATAATGGATCTAGGCAATGACTATTGATGGCTACTAGAAACATTGGATAGGAGGCCTTATAATTGGTGATCTAGGTGACAGATACTCAGTAAACCCACTGATCTTGTCACCAAAAGCAATATGACCAGACATTATGTGTTCCTGGTATGACACAACATGAATACAAAGCACCATCCATGAAGGGTTCTTGCCAAAAAGAATGATCCCGACTCTAATCAATCCTGCAGATCTTACTCCCATTTTAAAGAAATATGGAGGAGAGACACAATTTAAAGACACCATAAAGAAACAAATAGTAATTTCATGAGTGAGACACTCTACTGACAACTGATCTGGTTTTTTCAACAAGTTGACAGTATTAACAAAAGAAAAAAAGGCATGCCTTAGATTAAAAGACTTAGGAGACAAGACACAACCAAACACAAGTGTGGACCTTGTTTGGATCCCAACTGGAATTAGCCAAACCACCCAAAGAGAAATTTGAAAAATTGGGGGAATCTAAATAAGGACAGGACATTAAATGATACCAATAAATTATCGTCCATTTGATTATTAAATTATTAAATAATTAAATTACTAAAAACAATGAACTATTGTTCATTTAATTATTAAAAGAACAATAAATACTGTTCGTTTGATTTAGGGCTATGGCTTTGTAAGATAACATCCAAATTTTATAAAGATGCATACTAGAGTGTATAGGTGTGAAATAACAACACGTCTGGGGTTTGCTTAAAAAGACAAAAATGTGGAGGGTGAAGTAGAGGAGAGGAAAAGCGAGAGAGGCAGGACCTTGAAAATTCTAGAAGCTCAGGGACAGGATTCATTATACCACTCTCTCTGAATTTCTGTATGTTTGAACATTTTCGGCCTTTTCTGTGTAAACTCTAAAATTCGTGTACACCAAATTGAATGTTAAAATAGAATTTAACATTCATAGCCTGCTTTGTATTTATCAATAAAAACTTCTAGAATGGAACACCAGTGCTTCTGATCAACATGACACAGCAGAGAGACCTCACTAAGTTGGTGTAATTCCTAGCAAAAGCAAAAAAAGACACTGGACATTTTAGTTGACCTCATCCCAAAAACATTTAGGTTTTCCGAAAATACCAGAAGTGACTCTCCTATCCCAACTGTTGCCTTTGTAGACTCCAAATTGGGATTATTAACTAGTTTAGCCACTGAAACTAGAAATAATATGACGGGTGTTAGTACAATGTAGGACCTGGAAACACCAAGTAAGCCTCAGTTTCCTCATCTATAAAATGGGAAGCTTCTCCTTGCCAATTTTGAGATGGCTTCCAGATCTGACATTCTGAACCCAGGGCCCAGAAACTGCCAGGGAGAAGGAAGGACAGGGGAGGAAAGGTGGAAGGGGCGTGGGAGTGGAAGAGGCCAGTGGTCTCCACGAAGTGGCCTTTCTTGCCCAGGATTTGTTGATCAGACCTGGAAGCCAGGAAACTCCTCATCTACCACAGGCCCGCATTGCTCACCATCCCAAAGAAGCCAGGCCTGTCTTCAGGCACGTGCAGTTCTGGATACACAGTCTCCAAGAACCACTTGAAGTCCTTACACTGGAGCTTGGCTCGGAGCTGCCTCCTCTCTGTCACATCCCCAAAGGGTTCCTGAGAAAACAAGAACGTGGTGAGTACATGTGCAGGTCTCAGTGCTTCCCATCAAAGCCCCTTTCTTCGCTGATGCTCACTCACTAACACCCCAACCAGTTTTTACAAGCATCTACTGTGTGCCAGTCCCCAGAGCACAGAAGCCTCAATCCTAGGTCTAGCATCTAGTAGGAGAGACTGTCACATAGGCAGTTCCATTCCTAGGTGCTCTTGTCACAGGGTGGTGTGACCAGGTGCACGAGGGTAGGATACGGCACACTTGTGGAGTCAGGGAGCCAAACCCTGGAGCCACATTGTCATCCTAGACCTGCATGTCATTGATGAGTCTGTGATCACAGAGGTCATCCTCACACCCAACCAGTGAAATATCAGTGTCACCATGACTATACCATGATCTCCTGACTTATTAATTCAAGTATAAATTTGATGTATATACTCATGATGGTAAGAGCAAAATGCTGCGTTAAGAAGTACCTGTGGAAGTTTGGTTTTATGGATGAAACCAATGACAGAGAACTTCCAAATAATTACATAAAGCAAGCCTCTATTTAGTATGCCAAATGCACAGCCACCAGAGAAATGCTGAGTGCTGAGATATTACTGTCCCTGCACTACAACGTTAAACTACTGAAAACTGACATGTTAAATATTTAACAAAAAGATACAATAAGTAAAGATCTGAATAAAATTTCAGATTTCTGCTTATTGCCCAGAAGTTCTTTCTTTGATGAGAGTCACTGTGCCTCCAGCTTCAACCAAATATCCATTTTAACACTCAGACATTGGGCGTTCAGCCTCAATGTCTCAATATTCAGTGCCCCTCTAACATATTCTTTGGGAACCCTCCGGAACAGGGGACCATGGGTTCCAGACTGAGTGACAGGGAAGAATATATGTTTCTACTCTGCAGCGTTGGGCAAGACAGAAGAATCAGAGCAAATGACCATGGAGCCCCAGAGGCAGAGGGGGCTGAGTGTCCAGGGGCTCTGCAGAGCAGAGCAAGGGGTGCACTGGAGTGTGGATGTGCAGTCTAGCTCTGCCCCATGTCAGCCATGAGGTCTTGCACTGGCTCCTTAAATCTCCCCCTTTCTAAGCTTCAGCTTTCTCATCTACAAAATGAGAATTTTATTACTACCCTGCAAGGCTGCTGTAGGACTTGGAAGGGACTTTCATCAAGTGGCCAGGCAAGAAGTCCCAGAGCAAGACCTTCCTCTATTGCCAATGCAAACTCATTAGTTACACAAATGCAGGATAAGGGGGTGCCCTGTGCTGGGGCAGGCAGAGCCGGCCCTCATGGAGGCAGCATACCACCCTGCGTCTGAAGCCCAGGACCTGCTGGGAAAGAAGGAGCAGGTCCCTTGTCCACAGTGGCCCCTGAGACAGGACAGACAACAAGACCCTGAGATAAGTCGCTTTGAAGAAAGCAAATCTGGGCTGAGAGCCAGCCTCCCACAGGGCCTCCAGGCAGGGGGCTTGGGCTATTTCAGTACAGTGTGTGGCTGGGGCCCACAGGGAGCAAACCAACAGAGCAGGAACCTCGGCGCCCTACAGGGACAACTCTGCCATCACTCAGATGGGCTCAACAGGGCCACTGAAAGTGGGGGGTACACTGGTACCTGTCAGGCCCTGTCTTCAACAGCCATGACATGGCGAGAAAGGGTGGCAGTAGTGGCCTGGGCCACTCTCCAGTTCTGTCTGGAAATAGAAGCAGAACAGACTCCCTGTTTTGTAAGAGTAAGCCTCCAGGGTTTTTGTACAGTTCAAGGGGTCTAAGAAGAGGCCTCTAGAGATAGACTAGAGACTGCTGATGGAGTCTGGCTGGTAAGGCAGCTGCGGCCCTGGGTGATAACTCTAACATAAAGAATTGTGCCTTATGGGCCGGCCTGGTGGCGCACTGGATAAGTGCGCCGCTTGGGAAGCACGGCGGCGCTCCCGCCCGAGGGTTCGTATCCCACATACAGACCGGTTCCCGCTCACTGGCTGAGCGAGGCGCGGGAGCAACGCCGAGGGTTGCAATCCTGTTGCCGGTCCCCGGTCCGGTACGGGGGCAACACTGAGGGTTGCGCTCCGTTGCCGGACATGGAAAAAGACAAAAAAACAAACAAACAAAAAAAAAAGAATTGTGCCTTAACATGCCCCCTGAGCTGTGGACTCACTCCTGCTGGCTACAAAGAAGAAAGCTATAATACATGATGCCTAACTCATGACACTATGGGGTGCAGTCCATCTGATCATTATTCACTGGTTCTATATTTGCAAATTCACCTACTTGCTAAAACATATTTATAACCCACAAATCAGTACTCGTGGTGTTTTCACATTTTCACAGATACTCGTGGACAAAATATCTAAGCCGCCCAACATTCAACATTCCTAGTTATTTCAGCTCTCATACCATAAATAAGTCTTCTTCAGGATCTATCGAGTGCCATGTTTTTCACACTTTTTCTGCTTTGTGTTGTTGATTTCACCAGCCATTCTAAAACGGCCCCCAATCACAGTGCTGAGGTGCTGTCTAGCATCCCTAAACACAAGCAGGTTGTGATGCATCTTACAGGGAAAATAGATGTGTTAGATAAGCTTCCTTCAGAATTGAGTTACAGTTTTGTTGGCCATGAGTTCAATGCCAATGATTCAACAATATATGTTAAATAAGGTGTTTTTACATGGAAACACATATAAAACATGGTTCTATATTGATTGGTTGACAAAACTGTTGTGACCTGAGTCTTGCAAGAACCTAACCCCATATTTCCCCTAGGACAATGGCTTAGTAGTCACTAATTCAGTGTTTGCAGTGGCTTGATAGAACATAAATACTGTGAATAACAAGAACTGACTATATATATCTATTATTATAAATGAAGGAATAAAGTTTTCCTATACTTGAATCATGAGTGTCCCATTTATCCTCTATTTCTGGAACCAGATCTACTATGCTGGAGAAGGCAGAATTAGCTGATTTGTTCAGATGAAGCCAGATGGAGCGCAGGTGGGCTGGGAACTCACCAAGAGGGCACGGGGGTTGCGATGGTAGTAGAGCTCTTTGTATTCATCCATCCACACTTCAGCTGCACGGACACTGTTGGCTAGAGCCTTGTTGCGGGAATAGGGAGCTTGCTTGGGGAAAACGTGGCCAACGTGGGAACACGGGTGTGTTTCCAGAGTCCCACCACACTGCCAGATCTGCACACAGAGCAGAGGAGAGGCCAGGCACACACAGGTCATTGTGAACACTGCCAGATGCTCAGCCTCTACAGGGAGGAGGCCACTCACTTAGCACACCCTGACACAGAATGCAGACAAAGAACAAGAAGGCAACCCCAAGGACAAATAAGCCATTGGGACTGAGACCCCAACATCCATGCACCAAAGCACATGCACTTGACCTTGCTGGCCATCCATTTACTCACTACGTAAAACACAGGCTTGATTACCTGATCTCCTAGCCACAGAAGATAGGAAAGCAGCAAGGAAGAGGACAGGTTTGGAAGGGGGAAAGGAAGAGCTTCTAGAGGCAGGCAGAGCAGCCTGACACCTAGGGAAGAGGCAGAGAGACCATTAAAAGCACACCCAAAACTCAACAAGCAGAGTCACCTGAGGCCACTTCATGCTGGGACACTTTCCCAGGGGTATCACAACCAAGCCTAGCATCTGGTACTTATAATGGAGGGTGTGAGTCCTCAGTGGAAGGCCAAATTCTTGTTTATTAACTCTTTTTATGAGGACGGAACACCATATAAAATATTATTAAAATTCTTAATTTTCTACTGAAAAGCACAAACATTTACATAACGTTTTGATACTTACAATGTAAGATCCTGTTAAATGAAAAATCCACTGAAATGCTAAGAATTTTTCAAAGGGGTTTCCATGAGCCATGGTCAGCCGAATCAGCAGCAGCTGGGCTTATTCAGAAACTAGATTACTCGCCTCACCCTATGTGTATGGAATCTTTCTAGAGACTGTGCCTGTAAATCTGCCTTTTCAACAAGTTTCCCCAACAATTCTGATATGTGTCAAAGTCTGAAATCTCCTGTGCTAAATAAAGAGGCTACTTCATAAAGCTTAAAATAAAACAAAGGCTCCAGAAGATGAGATCAGGAGGCAGGGACCTATGTTTTAGTCCAGTGTCTGCCACCAACTCTTTGACCTTGAGTAAGTCACTTCCCCTCTCCTGGCCTCAGTTCCTCCCTTCTGTAGAATGAGAGAGAAGAACTAGGTTACATGCAAGGCCCTTTCCAGCCTCAAATACATTAAAAGTATATTTCTCTTAAAGTTGACAAGAGAAAGCAAGGATGTTTATGGGTGTTATTATCACTGATAATGATAAACTGCCAACACAGAGGAAAAGTCCACCAGGCTGTCATGGCAAATACCATCATTCCCAGAGAGAGGGGGAGAGAGAGAGAGAGACAGAGAAAGAGAAACAAAGAGAGAAACAGGTTAAGAATGAGTTTAAAGAGAAGACTGGAATACTTACCCTAAAGGAGAATTCGAGGTTTTCTCCTCCCCAAACTTCCATTCCTGTATCATAAGACCCCAGATATTCAAAATATTTCTTACTCACAGCAAACAGCCCACCAGCCATTGTTGGAGACCTAGAAGAGTGTGACATCAAAATTCAATGAAAGCAGCAGGAAGCCACCACAGGTGGCTGAACTACCTTCCACCAAAAGCCCTGCTGTCCATTCATCCGTCTCTAAGCATACCCTGAGTTCATGCTGTGCCCGGCGCTGAGCAGTGCCTGGAGGCACAGACGTACCCACAGTCCGTGCCTTGAGGAAGCTCACGGACATCCCAACAGGCAAGTACTATGTGTGATAAATGTGTTATCTAAGGTCAGCCAGGGCCCTGTGGGAACTTGGAAGAGGGAAGGGGACAGGGAAGGTAGGGCCCAGCTCCCTGGAAGAGGTGGGGTCTGCAGGACAGAGAGGAGCTGGCCAAGAAGAGGAATGGAAGGTGTATTAGTCCATTTCTCCTGTTTATAACAAAATACCCAGAACTGGGTAATTTATAAAGAAAACAAAATTTATTGCTTACAGTTTTAGAGACTGAGAGGTCCACAGTACAGGAAACACATCTGGTGAGGGTCTTGGTGGTGGCGACAGGGACCCAGGGGTCTCACATGGCAGAAAGTGGCAGAGCAGAGAGACTAACCTCTCATGTGCTCTTCTTTTAAAGCCCTCAGAACCACACCCCTGACCACCATTATTAATCCATTCACTATCAAGGTCCTACAATCTAATCACCCCTTCAAGGCCCCACCTTTCAATTACCATAATAGGATTTCCCACCCTCAACAGTTACAGTAGGAATTAAGCTTCTAACATGAACTTTGGGGACACAATTCAGTCAACCCACAGCAGAAGGGTTCCCTGGCATAAGCAAAGGCCTAACGGGGGGCAAAACCCTAGTACCTTGATAAGCACAGAGGCAAGGAGAGGCAACAAGAGGGAGACCATGTTCTCCAGGGGGGATGGCAGGGCAGGGCTGCAGGGGCCTGTAGTCACACTAAAGAGCTATGGCCTCACAGGACAGGCATCACAAATGCCACGTAGAGGCTGGTAAGCAGAAGAGCACAGAAGGCCTCTCAGCATCTGAAAGCTCCCCGAGGGCCAGCTCCTCTCCTGCCTGGGTGGTTCTCCTCCGGGACCCAGACAGCCAGCATTGCCTGCTTCAGCTGCCTTGTTTTCTCCCTACCAGGGTCATCTAGAAACCAGCACTGATTTGAGAAATGGCCCAAGGCTTCCATCCTACCACAGCAGAACACTGTAAGGTCAGCACACCAGGGAGATGCAGAGGCCAAAGAAAAACTTCAGAAATGGGAGAAAATGTAACATGAAGGGCCGTTAACAGTTTAAAATTTTAAGATCCTCCAGCTGCACTTCTGGGCCTTGACAAAGTATTGGCTTTCCCTGAACTCCAAGCTCTGGGCCGGCTGACAAAAGGACGGCAACATGGCCTGTGGAGGGGAAGGTTCTAGACTACAATGCACTCGCACGTGCGTTCATCCTAAACGTCTAGGAAATAGGCAGGGTGGATATGCTTGTACCTATTTCACAAATGAGGAAACTGAGGCTGAGCATGTGGGGGAGGGGCAACAGGAAGGTGCTCCTGTCAATACACACGCTGGATACGACCCTGGGGAACATCCTTCCTACTCTGTGCCTCAGTTTCCAGACCTGTTCTGGCACTGAGCAGGATGCTCTAAAGTACTCCAGAAGCTCAGGAGTCACCCTCGATTCCTCCCTTCCCCAGTTCCCACTCAATTCCTCCTAATTCGTTCACCTCAACATCTCTGGAATCCACCAGTTCCTACCCTCTTTTCCTCCACCATCACCTGTGACCTGAAAGACTGCAAAATCTCCTAATGGTGTCCCTGCCCACAGCCCTGGCCCCTCTAGGCCCCTCACCACACGGCTTCCAGCACAATCTTTAAAGAATGCAACATGTTCAGGCCACTTCCTGCTCAGATCCCTTCAGGGGCTCCGACCTCTCAGGGCAACATGCAAACCCCTTCCCTTGGCCTTCAAGCCCATCTCTTCTGCCTCATCTCTTGACTCTGCCTCCTCCTCGCTCCACTCCAAACAACAGTGGGTCATCTCAAGGTCAGGACTCGGGTGGAAGGACTCAGAAGTCCAACTGCCAAGTGTGGGTGCAGATCTAAACCACCATTCCGGGGTCAATACACCAGCAATAGAGCTGAAGTCCTGACCTCCACCTGCCTGCCTCCTGCATCTGTCTCCCAATTGGTTCTGAAAGTGGGAGGGGAGGAAGAAGCCAGACTGTTCAACACCTCAAGAATGACAGCCGCTGATCCTCCCCCGAGCCCGCTCTACCCAGACCTAGAGCTACCCACTGGCCACAGGCGGCTCCTCCACCCCCAGGTCTACCCAGTTCTTAAGGGGCTTGACAGAGTGTCCTCAAAATGTTCAACACAGAATTACCATATGATGCAGCAATCCCACTCCTAGGTGTGTACCCAAAAGAACTGAGCACAGGGACTCAAACGATGTTCATAGCAGCGTTCTTTACAATAACCCACAGACATGCCAAGTGTTTACCAACAAGTGAATGGATGAACAAAATGTGGTATATGCGTACACTGGAAAATTATTTAGCCATAAAAAGGAATGAAGTCCTGTAGGAATCTTGAAAACATTATGTTAATTGAAAAAAGCCAAATGCAAAAGGACAAATATTGTGTGAATCTACTTACATGAGGTAGCTAAAAGAGGAAAATTCACCGAGACAGAAAGTAGAATAGAGGTTACCAAGGGCTGGGAAGGGGAGAAAGAGGAGTCATTGCATAGGAGACTATACAATGGGTATAGTCTGTGTGTGGGATGATCAAAAAGGCCTAGAAATAAGCAGAGGTGACAGCTGCACAATATTGGGTATGTGCTTGACGTCACTGAATAGTACACTTAAAATGGTTAAAATGGTTAAATTTTATGCTGTGCATATTTTACAATTTAAATAATTAATCAATGAATTAAAATATACCAATATAAAATCCATGTGTGTAGCAAAGGTATTTAATAAAAATAAGCACATACTCTGGGGGAAATAAAGTGGGGGGTGGTAGCCAACAGCTAACTATCTTTCCCAAGGGCCTTCCTTGAAACACTCAAAAACCGGGTACCCTAGAAGCTGACCCCTGACCTGATGACATCGATTGGGGACCGCATCCGCTGCCTCTCCCTCTCGGGGACCATGTGCCACGTGAACACCAGCCTCCAGTCGAAACCGCCGATCTGGGGCTCCCCAGCGTTCCCCAGGTACTCGAAGGTGTTCCAGTCGATCACATCAATCACGGGGCACACCACTGCTGACTCCTCCTCGTGGATCCTGAAAACATCCGAGACATGTGGCCGGGCAGCAGGAAGACCGTTAGGAAATTCGAGAATGAACTCTCCTCATCTTGCCAGCAGGAGGGGAGGAGCACCTGAGAAAGGCCTGCTTCTCTTATTCCAGGTGTCGGCAGCCCTGGCAAGTCACCACCATGGGGGATGCTGTGGTGGAGGGGGCACGGGGGTTAATACAAAAAGTCCCACAGCTTTCATGTTCTCTGATTTTATCTATGGACATTCTGGCCAAACTTGAATCCCTCTATGAAAGTCAAGACGTGAAATTCAAAGGTAACTTTTAAAACAGAAGGTAGATTTTCAATTTCTCAGGACTTAAGAGGTTTAATCACAATGAAACATCTTAATGTCAAGAAATAATTATTTCCCGAAGAACAGAGATGTATCCAGACCAAAGGGTACCAAAGGCTTTGGAGTTAGAATCTAAATTCTAATCCTGCACCTTATTCGCTGTGTGACATTAGCCAAGTCACCTAACCTCTCAGAGCCTGCTGCCTCGCCGCCGCAACACTGGAATAATCACACCTACTCGTAGGGTTAATGTGAGGACTCCCTGAGGGAATGCCTGTAAGATGGCTGGCAGAGAACCTGGAACTATCGCTATTCTTTTCTTTTAATTTTTGTTATTGTGAAATATTACACAGTAAAAATGCTATAATCTCCTGCTGCAGGGATCAGCCTGTGTGTATGTTTCAGCTGTGCCATCTGCAAACATTATTACATGTCCAGACATCCCTCAGCCTGCTCCCAGGCTGTGTTTCTTTGCATTTGCTACCACACCAGAAATAAGACTGGATCACGTGTGAATACTAGATTTCTATGGGTTACATTTGGGGGGCTGTTATTGGAATTTGATTCCTAAAAATCCTAAGAGTCATATCACACAGAACAATGAAACAGAGATCAACCAGACTTGAGCTATAAGTGTCCTTAGAATAACGCCAGAAAGTCAGAGGGGATACTATAAATGCCACACTGAGGTAAGAACTACAATTTTAGGAGAAATGACACTGTTCAGGACAGGTTGTGTGAGACAGAGACTCAAGCCTGTGAGTTGAGGAAGTTGCAGACTGGGTCACCACCAACACCCACTTCCTGGAACAAATTCAGGGCATTATGAAACGGGTAGAAAGCCAGCATCAGACCTGCTGGGCAGGTTCCCAGATGCTGCCTGGCCCCTGTCAAAGACCAGGACCCCAGGAACTTATAACTCCCAATCAAGCTGGTTGTAACCTCAGGTAGTCTAATTTTTACAAGAAGGGGAAGACCAGGGTAGTGCTCTGCCGGTGCAGGAGTAATGACTCTGAATCACGGTCACAGAATGTGCATGCCCCTGGGGATGCCCTTGGCATCGGGGCAGAGCCATTCTTTGTTGTGCAGGGCTGACTGGCACACTGCAGGATGTTAGGCATCCCTGACACACAAAATGCCAGGAGCACTACCAGGTTGACATGCCAACCAAGAACATCTTCCCATATTTCCAAAAGCCCCTGGGGAGAAGGAGTTACTGTTCCTGGCTGGGACCACCTGAGGGACAGACTACAGTCCAATGTGTGTCAATTCTGGTACACACCAAAGTCCCTGGGGGGCTTTGAAATATCCAGAAGCCCAGACCCCACCCCTAGAGACTCACACCCAAACGGTCTGCTGTAGGACCAGATGTTGGTATGTTTAAAAGTTTCTCCAGGTTTTTCTAATAAACAACCAGAATGAAGAATCCCCTCATCTACAGCTATCAAGCAAGGACTTGGTCATGGGGAGAGCTGCCTCGCTGCTCTCCAAAAGGTGGGCTGCGGTGGAATTCCAGCCTGCAGCAGTGCATAAGCTGAAGAGGAAAAACGTCCTCCACCCACAATTTCAAACTGGTCTAGAGGTGGCCCTCTACATGCACAGTGGGAAAGTGGGGGTGACCCACTGGTCCAGGTTCCAGGGGAAGCACTAGACCATCACTTCACTCTAAATAATCTGATAACATCACAGGCCTGAGAAGCCCTGAGTCTTCGCTGCTGGTGAAGCTCTTCAAAGCTGAGGAGGAGAAAGAGGTGGCTACAGTAGCCAGCAGGGACAAGGAGCTGGAAAAGCAGGAAGTAGCAGAGCAGGGGCAGAATGTCTCTCCCAGGAAGGGAGGTGAGTGGGGCCCTGGGCCCCGGATCTTCCAGACAGACGCTGGCAGCCAAAGTGTCGTAGGACGTGGGAAAGCAGTTTCCCAACTGCAGGGTTTTCCTGACCCTCCAGCCCTTTGCCCACCCCACACAGGTGAGACCAAACAGAGACCCTCTCGCCCCTCCCTCTCCCTCCTGGGGGAGCCCCTGACTGTAGTGCAGAATCAGGAGAACGGGTGGAGAGGGGCCAAGGCACAGTGGGGGAGGGAAGCAAGCGGAAAAGAATAGAAGTTGGGACCCACAGACAGTGGCTTCTGGGAGGGGAGGGTGAGGAGGGCTAGAGAAGGAGGCTGTGGCCAGCAGGGGAAATGGCCTTGAAGTTGACAGGGTCACATCATGGCCTCCATAAAAATACACATATTAAAAAGTATACTTTATAGCCCATTGGTTTATAGACAAACATAATCCAGGCTAGATTCATTATAATACATTCACTATTACGATATTCATTTTTTTTCCTTCTGATTTTAAAAGAAATTAACATAAAACTGCTTGCATGGGTCCCTTTGAGTTTCGTGGGCCCTAGGCACTGTGCCCACTGAGTGTAATGGACAAGTCAGCCCTGCTTGAAAGAAATACATTGAAATGTACTTTATCTAGAAGTGTGATTCTATACGATAACAATTTTTTTTTTGACTAATGATACTTTCTAAGTTTTCTACAGTAAACTTGGATAAGAAGTAATAATAAAAGCAAACAGCGATACAGGGCCTTCTCCCTGCCGGCATGTTCTGAGCACTTCCATGCGTATTTTAAATCACTGCATGGCCTCAACAGCCCGATGAAGGAGGCACTGTTAACATGCCCAGTAAAGCACTTGCCCAGGGAGTGTCTGAACCCAGGCGTCCACTGCCTCTCAGGTGACAGTGACGCGGTTGCTCCTATTTCCACACACTGAGGTGTCCCACCCTGCCCCCATAGGGGCGGCTCACAAACCTCTGCAGCAGCGGCTCCAGCCACCCCTCGTGGCACTCACAGTGACAATCCAGGAAGGTCAGCACATCGCCCTTGGCCGCGGAAGCCCCCAGCAGCCGGGCTCGCACCAGGCCCTCCCTCTTGCTCGCACGGATCAGGCGCACCTTGGGCAGGCCCGACAGTTCATTGGCCAAGCGCTCCTTCAGGTGCTCTGGGGAAGCAAGATAGCAGAAAGGTCACCACGACAGCTCTTGGCAAAGCGCCTCATCCCAAGCCAGGTCTTTCCAGGGCCCCCCGTTCCCCAAAGAAGATGAAACAGACACAAGCCTCCTTTGCTTTGCCATGTGGAACATTCTCGCCTCACCAAGAACAAGGGCTGGAAGTGTCCTGAAGGCCGGGGGAGGCTTGGGGGTGGGGGGAGTTCCAGAACCACCATCTGCTCCCATCAAAACACAAGCATATTGAATTTTACATGTTAAATGGGTAAACTGTATGGTATGTGACTATATCTCAATAAAGATGTTAGCAAAAAGGTACTTTATAGCTTAACTCGTGAACATTTAAAAATAAAAAAACACACAAACCATCCAACCACAATGTTTATAAAAACAGCAATTATGTTAATAGAAATTTTCTCAGGAGCACTTTAGAGTTTATATAATGGTGTGATAATAATAATGGCAGCTAACATTAAAGAGTGCTAAGTACTGTCTAAGTGATTTACAGATAACCCATCTGATCCCCATAACAATCCTATGAGGTAAGTACTAGTATTATTCCCATTTCATAGATGAGGACATTGAAGCCAGAAAGGTCAAGTAGTTTGCCCAAGATCACAGAGCAAGTAAGCCGAGGAGCCACGATTTGAACCCAGGAAATCTGGTTCCAGACTCCACAGGCTTAACTCTGCCTTCCAGAGCTTTCTGCAATTTCTCATCCTTATTAAACAAATCAAAAACTTGTCAGGAGGACGTGCTTATCCCATTTTGCATAAAAGGAAATGACTTGAAAGGATGTGCCCACGGTTAGCGCTGGCCCCCAGGTCTCCCCACACCACAGACTAGACTCTGGGACTGGAGGCCGATTCGCACCCCTCGATGGATCAGGTGGAGGCAAAATAAAAATGAGAGAATTTCCCTCCATCAATATGAGGATTTTGGCTCAAAATCCTCAACATCAGTGAAGGGGAAAATTTTGTAAAATGCTCTAAGTTGCTTCATAGTTTATGAAAACGTTTCTCTAAATATCTTTGACACGTTAAAAAAACATTGGTTGAGTTTTTTTAAAAGTCCTAAATATAACTTCAAATAAACTGATGGCAGGAAGAAGGGAGATGACTTTGCAAGCAATGCTAACTAGCTGCAGTGCCCAGTGAGCACGTGTGAAAAGGCACATGCAGTCTCCCCGCACTCATGACGGATTTTGTCAGTGGTAATTCTATGTCTGCCTGAACCGTCATCCTGCACCTGGGAGGGCCTGACACCCCTTCATCAAGCTCATACTGACACTGCAGAAAGAGCCGGGTGGCAGCAGGAGAGACCTTCAAAATCACCTGTGGATTAAATGGCATCTCGCCTACTTTTACAAGTTACGGCAATGGTATGGGAGGAAGACTTGGCCCACATCACCTTACATTTATGAGAAAACTGAGCTGTGTTGGAAGGTCATACTGTATTCCTGCCTGCTGAGGAGCTACTTAATCCCATTAAGATAAAATTAATTATCTGATATTTCCTTTAGATTAATGTATGTGTGAGAAGATGGCATTTTTCTTTCACTTGACAATTTTGAAAATATTTCATAAAAATAGAAGTTATTTAACAAGGGCTAACTATATGCCAGGCACAAATGCAGCTCATCACCCACCTTACCTCAGTTAATCTCAGTTAATCCTCACAACGACTCTCCCAGGTAGGGACTATTATTATTCCCACTGCGTAGGGGCTGAGGGCAAGGTTGAAGCCGGCTCACAGTTGTATAGTTGTGGGGTGTTGGAGAGGGATTCAAGCCCGTGCAGTGTGACCCAGAACCAGTGTCTACACAGACAGGGAAATGTAGATGTGCACCTACTATGCACTGGCTGCTACACGAGGCTGTGTTCTGTACATGATCTCACTTACTCCTCACAAATGAGAAACTGAGGCTCAGACAAGAGACTTGCCCAGGGTGCCATGACAGGATCATGGCAAAGCTGACTTCTGACCCCAGAACTCAGAGCCTACCAGGCTATACTCAGCACCATACCCCAGCTGGCTGCTGTGCTGTCACAAGACTGCTGTCTGTCCCTAAACCCCACTCTCCCCGTGATTTCCAGCTGAGCACATGGGCACCCAGGATGAGGCTCCATCGCCCAGTACCCCTTGCTCAGTGGGATGTGACATGACTTCCAGGTAGTGCCCTTTAAGAGAAAAGGTGAAGCTACCCCCCTGGATGACCAGAGGAAGCAGGAGATGAAAAACCAGCCCGGACTTCACAGACCAAGGCAGTACAGCTTCCTAGAGAAGCCAAAACACGGGCCAAGGAGTGAGGCCCCTAATGCCACTGAGCCGCCACAGTAGCCTCGACTATCATGCCAGATCTGTGACGTGAGAGAGCTCTATTTCAACCTTGTGTGAATCACTGTTATTTTGAGTCTTTGCGCAAACAGCCCAACACACACACCAGTTAGGACCTACATATGTCAGCTCCAAAGTGAGGCAGGCTAGGCATTGTGCCCGCAAGAGCAGATGCCCAACAAGCAGGAGCTGTCAACCTCACGGCTGGCCCAGGGATGGTAATTTGGCTTGAAATGGGCTCCAGGAGCTAAGCCCCCAGGTCTACCTGTTGTCACATCCTTGACATTTCCCCTCAGTGACGCTTAGCTGCCCTTACTTCAGCTAGTCACCAGAGATTCACTGGCTGGGGCTAGGCCATCACCACCGCTAGTCCCAGTCCAGCCGAGGTTCTGGCCCAGCGTGGGCAGCACAGAAGCCCCTCCATCCTCGCTCGCCCACCCCCAACATCAGCCATTCCCCACACAGCAGTCCAACCAAGCTCCTCAGACTGACTCGGGCCTCCCTGCCCTGCTAAAGTCCTGGAAGACTCCAGTCAGGCTCGCATCTAAGCCTCAACCCCTTATAGTGGCCTCCCAGGCCCACCTGATCTGGCCCTGCCCACCCTACAACCTCACCTCCCATATCACCTCACTACTAAACAATGGTCAGTCCCAGGGAATGCCCCGCTCATGCCAGCTTCTGCACTTGCTGTTCCTGGGCCTGAGCTGCTCTCCCTGAGATCTTCACTGGGCACAGGGGGACACAGGAAGACCATCCTCAGTGCGCCCGTTCTACCCTTCCTATGTCACACTCTCACTGCCACGGAAAGATAGGCTCTTCCAAGAGCCCGTGTTGGGGGCTTACCTCTATCACTGTAGTCATCAACAAGGATGACTTCTTCTAGCAGGATGTCTGGGGATGTCTCAAGTACACTGTAAACTGTCCGAAGGAGAGTAGACCAGGCTTCATTATAAAATGCTATGACAACAGATGTCCTGGGCAAATTCTCATAATCATATTTCTTCTCTTTGCATCTGCAAATACAACACAACTTCAGGAATTGAGAACCCAACCCAGGTCAGTGCTGGGGACAGAGCAATGAAGGGGACATAGGTTGTGGTCTCGAAACCTCCCCTGGGGAATGGGAATTAATCTGCTGGAGGATTTTCCAGGGGCCCTGTTTGCCACTAGAAGCCCAGCAGATTCTAAGAAAGGTTCTAATAGTGTCATCCAAACACCTTTTGCTGTAGAATATGGTTTTTAAGCTTTAAAGCAATTTTCGAGTTCAAGCAACTTACAAACAAGGCCGAATCAGAGAGGGAGGCTGTCACTTCTGTCTCCCCAAGAGCTCTATCTGCTGCTCCATTCCAATCCCACTGCCAGACCTTGCTGAGACTGTTCCCTCTGCCTGGAGTGCCCTCTCCTCCCTTCTCTGTGTGGCACACACCCAATCCTCTTTCAAGAGCAGCTCAGCCCTGTTCTCCTCTGGGAACCCCCAGGCTCCCTCAGCACCTGGCCCACCTCCACCTTAGCACGTGCCACTCACAGTATTCAGGTTACTCATGCCCTGCTGAGTCTCTCCCTACCTTCTCCTGGCACCCAGGAGTGTCTGTGCCTAACAAAGGTGGTGTGCTGAATGCCTGCACTAGTGTCATGGCTAGAATAATTGAACATTCCAGAAAGGACTCTGTGGGGACACTGATCACATCTCCAATGTCCATGTGCCCTGCTCCGTTATGTGGCAGCTGTGTGATAGTGGTGGTGGTGGTGGGGCTTCCTACCAACAGACAGTACACTTTCCAGCCACGAGAATGAGCCATCTTGGAAGCAGAACCTCCAGCCCCAATTGAGCCTTCAGATGATGAAAGCCCCAGGCAACATTGTGGCCGTCATCTCAAGAGACAATTCAAGTCAAAACCACCCAACTGAGCTGCTCCTACATTCCTGGCCCACCAAAACTGTGAGATAATAAATGTTTACTGTTATTTCAAGCCACTAAGTTTTGTGGTAATTCATATCACAAAATAAATCACAAGAAAACTATGTGATAGACCCAACTGACAGACATTTTATAAACCAATGGGCCTATTCTCTTCAAAAATGTCAATGTCAGGGCCAGCCCAGTGGTGCACTCAGTAGAGTGCGGCACTTGGGAGTGCGGCGGCGCTCCCGAGGGTTCGGATCCCATATAGAGACCGGTCTGCTCACTGGCTGAGTGCGGTGCAGGCGCAACACCGAGGGTTGTGATCCCATTGCCGGCCATGGTACGGGCGCAACACCGAGGGTTGCAATCCTGTTACTGGTCACGAAAAAAGACAAAAAGGAAAAAAAAAATGTCAATGTCATGAGAGACGATGAAAGCTGAGGAACTGTTCCTGACTAAAGGAGACTAAAGAGACATGACAACTAAATGTCACACCTGATTTTCTCTTAGATACTGGATCAGGAAGAAAAATAAGGCTTCTCTAAAAGTTGGAAGAGCTGAAGAAAACCAATATTGTATAAATTTCCTTAATTTGATAACTACATAATGGTATCATGAGATAATGTCCTTGTTCTTGGACAATACATGCTGATGTCACAAAAGGTAAAGGATTGTTATCTTTGTAATGTACTCTCAAATGTGTATATCACAGTAGACATATAGAAAGATAATGATTAGGTAAATGGGGCAAAATAATAAAGGGCAGGTCTAGGTGGAAGATTTATAGGAGTTCATTGTGCTATTCTTGCAAATTTTCACCAGGTTTGAATTAAATGTTTAATACAAAAAGAAGAAAAAAAAATTTTAATGTTGCAAAGGGTATACAAACACCAAGTCAACTGTTACCTATAGAAATGTATTGCAGTCCTAGTTGCCCTTATGAATGCCCTCCCCAATCTCATTCTTTCCCCTTTCTACCAAAACAACCCCCTCTCCATAAAATATATGTTATAGCAAATGGAAAACATATATGTGTGTGTATAAAAATATTAATAAAGGCCGGCCCGGTGGCGCACTGTGCTAGTGCGCCGCTTGGGAAGCGCGGAGGCACTCCCGCCGAGCGTTCGGATCCCACATGCAGACCAGTTCCCGCTCACTGGCTGAGCGAGGCGCGGGGGCAACGCCGAGGGTTGAGATCCCGTTGCCGGTCCCGGTCCGGTACGGGGGCAACACTGAGGGTTGCGATCCGTTGCCTGACACAGAAAAAGGAAAAAAAAAAAATAATAATTCAAAGGCTTAACAAAATGGAGTCACTTCTGTTCAGGCTGTTACAAACTCCCCAGCGCCCAGTGTTCATTCCGTTTC